ACTCAAAATATACAGAAACTGTATAAAAATTGGTTTTACCTATACAGATTGGTACTATGGATGTTATCTGCTAGTTCAACTATAGGTATTCTGGATATGAAATGGTGTGAAAAGATTAAATTTAAACTCTCTATTATCATCTAGTCAGAATTACAGTTTGTGTACTAGTTTCAATGCAGATGCAAATACAACTTTCAGGACAACTTCATACTTATGTCGGAAACTCGATAAAAATTGGTCTTAAAACTGTCTGAAAAGTACAGTGCGAAACTGGTGTGGAAAACTACAGAAAAAGTAGCATAATAAAATATCTGGAAACTCAATTGCCAAACTAATGTAATTACTGTACTCATTTCCCTTTTTTCTCTCCTCTGCAACTGCAGTTTTAAGACTGCAGTTTGAACGCTACAGTCCAAACTACAGTCTAACTAAAGATCCTTCCACCTGGGTGAATACGTACTTGCAACACTGGCGAGCGGGTCAGGCAGAGGGGACGGAAAGGTGTAGCGCCGGGCCACGTCACTCGGACTCAGCCGGCGCTCCTCCTCACAAGCCTGTCCCTTCTTTCTGTCCTTGGTCACCGCTGGTCGCGCCGGACGCCAGGCCACCGTTGCCGCCGTCCGCCGGGGGGCTCGGCGCGGCGCTGCCGACCTGCTGCACGCACTCGCAGGCGCACCTCAGCGAGCCCAGGGAGCACTGGTCCCAGCACGCCCATTCCCGCCCTTTGCAGCCCGCCTCGCACGCCTCCCGCTCCTCGTAGCAGCCCCTGTCCGCGCAGCACTTCATCCACAGCTCGTGGTCCATGCCACCGCGCGGCTGGCCGCCGCAGCCGCACTGGCAGTTCCACCAGCACATCGCCCTGCAGCCCGCATCGTCCCCGCCACACTCGCCGCAGGTGACCGTGGCGCACTGCAACATGGGGTTGTGTCAGTCGGGGAAGGGGACGGTGTCGGCCCGCCTCACACTTTGCCCACCACGAGGGGTAAAGCAACTTCCTGATTTGGTCTAAATACCCAATTCAACAAATTCAAGCCAACTCAAACCAATAGAAGCCAATTTAGACATTAGTTGAAGACAACTTACACACTAGTTGAAGCCAATTCAAACGAAAAGTCAACTCAATGGCAATTCAGGCCAATAGACCATTCCACCGAATGGGGAAGAAGAAAGAAAAGAATCAAAAAGTACCGGAAACAGTATCAAAAACCAGTATGTAGAACATTTTTGTACACCTCTGTGGCACACCAACAAGTCCAGAATAATTATTTTGGTCAAGAAAACTAGAAAAAGTGAACGGTTTGATCTGTTTATCAATACTGTTTCCGGTACTTTTTGATTCCTTTCTTTCTTCTTCCACAGTCGGTGGAATAGGGTACCCCACTCCGGGCGCGCGGCGGCTGAAGAAGAAGGCAAGAAGCCCAAAACTGAGGAGTGGGGGCCCGCCGCGCCGCCGCTACGCGCTCCTCCACTCCCTGCTTTTGTGCTTCTTGCCTTCTTCTTCAGCTGCCGCGCGCCCGGAGTGGGGTACCCTATGGTCTATTCATGCGTATCAAGATCCAGTCCAATTCAAATCCAATTCACGACATTTGTACACCTAAAGGATGGCCTCCAATGGAATATCACTACCCATCAACCCATTATCCCAGGGTGATTCCCAGCACAGGATGTCAGTTTGTGTCTTTTCCTACTAGAAAATGCCTTTTGGTACCTATGTGTAATGAGTGCCCGTTTTTCTCCTACTTACTAAACGTGGCACGGACTACAATATCTAAACGCGTATAGGAATGTACTAGCTCTAGCAGAAGGCTCAGTGGGTCAGAGACGTGTCCTCCCAGGAAGTTCCGTCACTGTCCTATTGCCATTAACCAAGACTTTATGTCGCTTTTAATTGAAATGCACCATATAGCTTATTGGCTGAGCGATTAGCGAAGCCTATTACACCAGTGATGATCAAAAAGTTTCGCGTCTGTCTGTGTCTGTCTGTCTGTGCGCACGATAACTCGAGAACAAATTGAGCTAGTGACCTGGGATTTTCAGGGTCGTTTTGTGTCATAAAATGACAAATCGAGTTCGAAGAAGGGCATTCTAGCTCGAAAATTGTATTTTAAAAAATCAAAAACCACAGGTCCCACTAATAATGTTTTAATAAAATATTTTTTTTAACAGTTTCCCAAGGGGTAACTCATCAATGTAGAGCCCTTTGGGCGAAAATTTTGTCCGTTGGGCTCTATCTTTAACCATTTAGGCGCCACAGGAAGTCTTTTTGCGAAAGTAGGCGAAAAAATGTTCAACCCTGCATGCTGAGTCGAAGTGACGGGAAGTTGACGGGCCGGAGGCCCGTATCTTTGGGTACATTTCAGCGCTTCCCGACTCGGGTGTCAGCGCCGCAGGCCTAGGTAGATGTATGCCAGGCGCGTCGCAGCGTAACAGTGTTTCGTGAGATATCGCGAAGCCTGTTACGCGAGACGTGGTCTGGCGTACATATAGCTAGTCATAAGAATGAATTGGGCTACAATTTAGCGTATGCAGATGCAGTGCACTCCTCCGGGAACCCGGTCTTCTTGGCCTCGAAGTGGACAGTTTCACCTCATCGTAGCGTGCACGATTTGGACCGAATTCACTGTGTCACCTAATACATTGACTGGTATTTGGACAGATAACCTGATAAGTTTCTGGGAATACTGTATGGGCTATTATAATCGATTATTGACTGTAGCAGTCGATTATTGACTCTGGGAAATAATATGCAGGTTGTAGGAACATTGGTTCCCAGAGTCAATAATCCACTGCTACAGTCAATAATCGATTACAATAGCTCATAGAGTATTTCCAGAAACTTATCATGTTATCTATCCAAATACCAGTCAATGTATTAGCTGGCACAGCGAATCTTTTTTTTTTTTTTTTTCGTAAACGGATGGACCGTCGACAATGACAAAAATGGTCACTTACTCTTACGAGACGCGGCTGACGAGAGCGTTTTTCGACATTTTTGTTCTAAGATACCGAATATGTGCGAAATGTGTTCAAATTTTGATCCCCCTTTTTCGAAAACTTTTGACATTTTTCGCATTTTTTAAAAAATAATAAGAATTAAAAATTTTAAAATCGCTCTCGTCATGCGATAGACGCATCTTCCAAGAGTAAACTAGGTAGATGTACGCCAGACCACGTCTCGCGTAACAGGCTTCGCGATATATCACGAAACACTGTTACGCTGCGACGCGCCTGGCATACATCTACCTAGGCCTGCGGCGCTGACACCCAAGTCGGGCCCCAAAAGTCACAAATTTTGTTCCTCAGTGTTTTATTTTAACGAGTTGCCCCACCGGAGACCATCAAATATCTGAGAAGAAACATAAAAATCTTTTGCGGTCATTTTCGTGTAGAAAACTCCCTCTGGTGCCTGAACGGTTGAAGATAGAGCCAAATAGACGAAATTTTTGCCCGAAGGGCTCTACTTTGATGAGTTACCCCTAAGGAAAGAGTAAGAAAATATTTTAAATCAACTCCATTTTAGGGACCTGAGGTTTTCGAATTTTTAAAAATCTAATTTTCGAGCTAGAATGCTCTTCTTCGAACTCGATCTGTCTTTTAATGACACAAAACGACCCTGAAAATCCCAGGTCGCTAGCTCAATTCGTTCTCGAGTTATCGTGCGCACAGACAGACAGACAGACAGACACACAGACACACAGACAGACGCGAAACTTTTTGATCATCACTGGAGTAATAGGCTTCGCTATCGCTCAGCCAATAACATTTTTTGTCGTTGTCGCAAGTCCATCAGTTCGGTTCAAATCGTGCACGCTACGACAAGGTGCTGCCGTCTACTTTCGAGGCCAAGATCACTGGGTTCCCGGAGACGTTCCCTGTATTTGCAGGCGCCACATTGTAGCCCAATTTATTCCCAATAAAAGGGTCTTTCTTTTATATTGCTGCGATTCGTTGTTTTTTTAAACATATAAACCATTGTATTTCACAGGTCTGCTACCTTAACAATCAATCGCCAGCTGCCAAGCTAGAATTAGGGAAGAGCAATGGGGCTTCTAAAGTTGAAAAAACAGTAGGTTATGCAAATGCATGTAAATTTCGTTTTCTGGCACCAACCGTAGCAAATTCTGCGAGGAACCGTTCTGTACCTTAGAAACTTTCGCTGTCCGATATCTTCAACAGCCTAGATTGCATTTACCAAACAAGGCTGTGCTGGTGAATGCAAAATCTATGATGGATGGGTTTGGTAGGTTGTGTTCCATTGGAGGTCGAACTTAATACGGGAGTTTTGTACCCCTCAGCCCACACACTCACCTGTCGTTCCCTTTTACAATTCCCCCACCTCGTCAGCTCCTCGGTGGCCGAGCGGCGCCGGCGGCCGCTGGTCCCTCTGGTCAGCAGGGAGGCGTTGAGGAGGCGGCCGAGCGCACCATCCACCAGGGCGCTCGGCGAAGTGTCGTCGCCACGGCTGGTTGGGGTGGCGGCGATGCTGGGGCTGCTGCATTAGGTAAAAAAAACGGTGAGACGTAACACTTTTTAGCCCGCCCTTCTGCTTTGAAAAAGCTATCCAGCGGGCTTATGCAAACGACCCCGTGTGTGTCTGTGTGTCTGTCTGTTCCACTAGAAGGAGATGTGCTAGAGACTTGAAATTTTCAGGGTATCTTAAGGTCCACTCCTAGAGAACGAAACGCCTACGGCGAATCCTGGCAACCACCCCGAAAGGGAGTGACTGGGGGTATCCAAGGTTCAAAAATTCTCCCAAAAAGTTTTTATTTATGAATCCCTCGAGCCCTTAGAGCGAAAATTTCGTCAGTTTGGCTTCATCTCTAACCGTTTAGGCGCTAGATGGCCTTTTCTGACGAAGTTGCCAGCTTCGCTTCGCTGGGCCGGCAACTCCGTTCGGCAGGGGCCGGGCCTGCTTGGCCTGCCGGCGGCGATGATCGGGCCTGCGGCCCCTGGAAAGGCAAGACTTAGAATAGTACTTTTGTTTTCCCAGTGTTGACAGACAACAAAAACAGAGGTGTCAACGAATGGAGTTACTGCCTCTGAGTGTTTAATAATTACATGCCATTGGTGATACCTCCCTGCGAGGAAAGGCTTGGCCGAGCCACCGCTGCAGGAAAACGCTTGGTCAGCGGGAGGCTGCTAAGAAAGACTCAGATAGGAAAGGTCCAGCAACTGAGTCTTTCTTAAGGGACCGTACATATACCACGTGGACAAAAACGGGGGGAGGGGGGGGGGTTCGCAAAAATTCCACGATTTTCCACAGGGGGGGAGGGGGGGGGGGTTAAGGTACTGTCCACGTGGAAGAAATTTCCTAGAAATTTACAGTAAAAATTATAAAACACAGTTATTTTGTTTGGTTTAAAAGCTGCATTTTAACAGCCTACGCTGCTATGACGAATTTAAGTTAAAACTTTGCAGTATTTTGAATGCATTTGCTCGAAATTTGCCATGTAGCTAGGCAAAATAGCGTAAAGAATCGATTTTCGATTTTCCACGTGGACAGGGGGTAGGGGGGGGGGGAGGCAAATGTCCACGTTTGTCCACAGGGGGGGAGGGGGGAGTCAAAAAGTGGCCAAAAAGTGTCCACGTGGTATATGTATGGTCCCTTAGCAGCCTCCCGCCGACCAAGCCGTTTCCTGCAGCGGTCGCTCGCCCAAGCCTTTTCCACAATAAGGTATCGGTATCGTTGGGCGGTTTTGGTGCTCCTGGAAGGCTATAACATGTTTTCTTCAACACGTTTAACAAGCAGGCCCGCCCTTCCGCCAAACGAAGTTGCCAGCTCCGCTTCGCTCCGCCGACAACTCCGTTCGGCAGGGGCCGGGCCTGCTTGGCCTACCGGCGGCGATGGCTC